ATATTGTATGAGCGATTCCGGTGTGGTACAAATTCTCAATTAGACTATTGCTTCTCCATGGATGACATTGGCGAAACAGTTTCTATTTCCTTATTTCTTCTATTGTGATTTCTTCTGATTGGGTTTGTTTAATCAGTATTATCATAGCCCATTGATAGTCTTCGTTTGTTATCTGGTCCTTTTCTGAGGAGACTTCTAAGTCAGGAACTTTTCCTTTGGATATCAAAGTTATGAATTTCAAAACCCATGCAGTCGTTACTACTAACCTCATCCATTTGCTAAATCGATTTGCCTCAATTATTTTGAAAGGTTTATTAATGGTAACTGGTGCAATAATTATCTCGTCCGTTATCATCTTCTTCGTGGTTGTATTCCCATTGTGGCCATGCTGATTCCTCTTCCGTCAGCCAACTTGGTCCTTTCCACCATGTTTCAAGTTATGCGAGTTTGAGGGGAGTGATTCCTCTTGTAGCCACATCAGCCAGATTCATCTCGCCTGGGATATAACGAAATGAAAATTTAGCTTGTCGTATTTCATCTACTCGATTTTGCACAAATTTTGGTAGTAGACGAAAATAATTCTGAATCCAATGTAATGAGCATGTGGAGTCCGACCAAAAAATAACCTTTAGGGATACTCCTGTTGAATTCTTCGTTATTTGAGATGAATTCCCGTATGTTCATTGACGCATCCTTGAAAATGGCCTTCATCGTATTTTTCAAGAGCTTCGCGGGTCTCCATTATTGGCACAATAACATTGTCAATATAAAGGTTCTTTCTAATTTCCAACGACAATTTGCTATTGTATTTCTCCAAATGATAATTGAGTGTAGCAGCTAACAAGAAGGATGATGATATTACCCCAAATGGAACTCGCTGAAATCGATAATACTCAGTGTTATCTTCTGTCACTCCTCAATGGATGTCTTTTAACCATAGAAATTTGTACCATTAGCTAATTGGTCAGGTATCTTAAAATCATTGTCAACATTCATCTGCATAGATATTGCGAAATCGATATTTATACAGATCAATATTGCTGCAGTCATATATCAGCTATAAAAGGGTATCTTTTGAAAGTTTATATTAGCCGAAAAGATAACAAATTAATCAGTGAAGTATAGATGTTGCAAATTTTGATACAATTGGAATTTGAGAGAAGCTATTAAGGTAATTTTAACCTTTAATGATTGTTTAATTAGGATAGCGTTACTGTTTGAGACCAGAATTAAACAATTCTGGTCTCAAACAGTAACGCTATTCTAATAATGAAATATTTTAATTTTTTTCAGTGGTAGAAATATCTACCAAAAGGCGAACAATGAAAGTACAAGACAAATTAATTATGGCCAGATCAGTCAGGATTTTGTTCATCTTTTTATGAATGATTTGTAATGGATTTCAATTTTCACCATTTTTCTATTTTCATTTGCCCATCCAATATCCCATTTTAAAATAAAATCAGTTTTAAAATTTCCTTGAAATTTCACGTATGATCAATCTTCATTTCAACAGTGCAGTGGGACGTTGCGTAGTATAGTGCACAATGATTTAGTTGAGATAGTCGTTTGGATATAATTGCAGTTATGAGCGATACCCACTACTCAAAAAATGAAATGAATGGCATCAAATAAAGACAAAAATTGTCGATTTCATAAGACGACCTTTTTCTCGAATCATTCATCAGTTACGTCTTGTACTTTTCCCATGGCTAATAAGAGAACTAAATAATTTATCTTTACGAAAACCTGAAATTCTTTTTTTTCGTATTCATAGCAATTAAAATAAGTGATTAATTTAAGAATGCAGTGAACTTTATTTTACATCGTTATACGCAATGTTATACTTATACTGTATCTTCATTATTTCTCGTTATGAATTCGTAATATGTAATGCTTTTTATAGAACAACATCAAAGTGCTAGTCAATTTTTTTTGGAAAGAAGCAAAAAACGATTGGGGGTACTTTTTAAATTAATAACTGGTTTTTAATTTTCCTTTTTTACACAAATTTCTTTTGTGGAGGAGACAGATTTATTTTGCTGGAACAGACAGATTTGTTCGACCGTTTTCGCAACAGATAAATTACTTTCGGAAATTTAAAAGGATGATGGAAATGTCATTCTCTTGATTGTTCGAATGTTCCAATTTTTGATGAAGCATAATAGCACTTCTTTTGGCTTATTATTTTAATATATTATTTGGCTTTTTTGTGTTATTGCTGATAACTGATAGATGAAGGTGTTTTTAAGGATTCTATCAATCATTATGAATAATTCAATAAATAGTGGAAATAATATGTCATTTAGAAAATATGTTGATATTCTTTTTCTGAAACTATAAATTATTACCACTCAGCAGGTTAATGGAATGATTATAGCAATGCCTCTTTGCATGACCGCTTTTGTTTTTTGAAAGAGATGATCATTCCATTATTGTAAATTATAATACAGTTTTGTCATTCTTTATTGCATAATTTAAAGAATGATAAATATTCTTGAACAACAGCGGTGCAAAACATGTGACTGGATATTTGAGAAAAAACAAAATGATCAGTAACGAATGAATTGAGAGCATTTTGTAATGAAATGAATCAGCTGAAGGATTAATTTATTGTCAATGCTTTTTATGCCTCATTTAATTTCTCTGAACATTTCTCTAAGGCCTCTGAATAAAGTCAAGAAGATGAAGAGTTATTCCACTTGTAATAAGTATTGCAATTGATATCTTCTTGTCTTCATTTTAATCAGTATTCTCCTATTCCAAAATGGATACTGTGTGATCTGAAAAGAAGAATGAAAATGTTTGCTCGTTGTATTTTCAATGGTGATCCATTTCATTCATCCATTTATCGCTGATTGAAAACAGAAGATTGAAGTTTGAAATGATAGAAATCGCGGGAATGCGTAAAACAAAGGATAGAAAATAAGGGGCAGGGAAAGGGGAAAGTGGGAAGGAGGAGAGGCGGAGATGAAGGATAGGGGAAGGAAGAAAAAATGATAAAAAATCTTTGGAAATAAATTGTCAACATCTGCTATTTAAATGCTATGGTACCAACAATGATTTTATTAAAAGGTAATGACTTCTTAATTTTCCGCCGCTATTCCATCCTATCTTCATTTCCCGTCTTCAGATCTATGTAAATGGGATAAGAAGTGACAGAAAAGTGGCTTTCTGAGTTTTATGGTTTTTGTTGACTTAAAGTTTAGTTTTTTTTTTTGATTTAAATGTTTTGATATTCAGCAAATCAGCTCTTTGAAAGGAAATGTTTTTCTCCTTGAAGTTTTTAAAACATTTTTACCATATTCTCTCGATTCTCTTAAATTGGTTGACCGTTTTTTTCAAAATTATATGCTGGTTTGCCTGCCCGTAATTTAAAATCCAACTTTTCATGTCTCACTGTTTATATTCATAAAATACAAAGCAGGCTCTAGTCAGCAAGAGAATGATTGCTACTCACTTCTTCTACTGTTATCATTATTATCATTGTTGTTTTTATCATTATCTTGCTTATTTTAATTCTTACAGATTTCACTGTCTAACTGCCGAATTGCTGAACACTTTATTTATCAGCGAATTAAAACCAAGTATTACTGACTTCGATTATCGCTGTAATTTATCGCTGTTCACGATAGTATCACCATAATAGCTTTTTACCTTTTTCTAACGATTTCACCGTTTTCTAACGACTGATTATATTTTTGTGATAGAATAACAATTAATATAATTTATCTGTAAACTGGAGCTATGCGTTTCCCATTTGAATGATTCTACAATGAAATGTTAATAGTTTCAAAATCGCAACTGTAAAGGACAAAATGAAAGATAATGATTATGGCATCTGTAATGATGATGGTGATGATAATTGATAAAGATAACTATATTGAGATATGTATCCTGGTATTTAAATTCGGATTTTTTTTTAGGAGATTTTTTTCAATAAATAGAAAAGGACGAATTTTCGATGATACATTAGCGTAGAGGTCATATTTCACATTTAGTATTTAAAAAGGTGGAATTTAAATATTACAGAACTAGTAAAACATATCATCTGTAGCTGTAGGAAGCAGTCATATTAATCTGTTTTACTTAAGATGAGAGCAACTTCTGGTCATGATATAAATTTAATTATTAAAATTAGCACAATTTGATTAATGGAGCCTTCCTCACTCCCTTTATATCTTTATTTTTTTCCTTCTTAACTTCCTGATGTCTATTTCATGAAGTCTATCGGATGTTGAAATCCGATAAAAAATATTTGTTCTCGCACATCTTTTCTCATAAAAAATTGGGGAAGGAAGATCTGATCTGAATAGGCAGGCGCGTACAATTTTCTTGTTTGTTCCAGAAAATGCCAATGTTTGTTTGAATTTCATGTTTCCACAAAAATTTTCCTTTTTCTTTCTCACATTTGTATCATTTAACTGATTTAATCTCTCCATATTACTACATCACTTTTAACACAATTTCAATATATCATTTATTTCAAACTTTAAATTTCAGTTCTTGTCGAAAATATTATTAGGTAGAATGATATATGGTCAAATGGGTATTATACGGGAATTTTTCAATAAAATTTGAAGGACATAATGATAGTGTAATGAACCTATCATACTATCATATTAGTTCACTTTATTGGCATAATTTTTTTTTGAACTGAATCTCTTTTTACCCTTTTGAATATTAGTATCTACATCTTTATTTACCAATGACAGTTTTCTTTTCAAGAATTAAAGTTAAAATTCTCCGTCTTACAGCACATCTCTCCTTTATAGAGAGCTCAACATTATATTCATTTCACAAATTAATGTATTTTATCAGAAATATGAATAACTACTTATTAGTGCAATAATTTCTGATTAATGTTTACAAGAAGAAAAGGAATCAATAATTATTACTTTGCAGTATTATATTCTTTTTCAAATTTTTGGAATTAGTTATTATCGTAATTTGCTATGGAGTTCTACAACTACTGCTTACTTTTTTCTGTCCTTCAAACAATGGCCAGGATGACAACGGGTATTTCGATCCATGTTCAGCCTCAAGAAATTTCACTTATTGTTGAAGAAGATAAAACTGTTCAGTTTTATACCACGTAAGTTTCTTATTGTAAACCATTTCTACAGCGTCTTACAGTAGATGAAATAGATTAACAAGTTGGATATCATTTACTCAGAAAGTTGGATCAAATTCAATGGTCATTATAAGTTAAAAAGTAAGACATTCCATCTGATTGTATTTCTGTGATATTAGTTTGGTAGGTGAAGTTTGCTGAAGTTCAATTTCATCTCCTACAAATTTATTTGGTTCGAAATTCACTTATAATTTGATACTGTGCTAGTTTTTGAGCTTATACATTTATTAGACTGCATTCCAGTGATAATTTGCCATCACCTGTTGATATCACATTGATGCGATCAGATTTATTCGACGGCACGCCACACATTTTCCAACTTGATAATCAAACACGATCAGCAAACATTGTGATAACGGGTTTACAGATTACAAGTCATTCCATATTGGAAATCGAAGAATGCAATTCTACAAATCCAGTTGGCAAATGTCCCTTCAAGTGTGCATTTTAATTTTTTTCTCAAAATTTGAAATACATCTTATACAGAATATATGTAAGGAAATGTAGTTTTTTATTAGCGAGATCGGATATTCATCGATTTGAAAAAAGTTGCCTTTTGAGTAAAATTCGCAAAATATTGAAATGTATAGTTTTTAAAGTCTGCACCAATAGCTAGAATTGTTTAGGTAACGAAGCCATAATTTTTCTATTTTGTTAGGTAAATCATATAGCTAGCAATTATGAAAAAAGGGATATTTAAGCATGAAAGCAATTATTCGCATTGGCAGATAAATGAGCAGGAAGAAATGAGGTAAATTAATGAATAAATAACTTATAAAATTCGAACGAATTAGAGTTTTTATGCAGCATATATTAGAAATATGTGTGCAATTCCTTCTGGAAAATCGTTCCGACAGATATGGAATTTAAGCAAAAAAGTAATAGTCCATGTAGAATATATAAGCCATATCGCAAAGAATAAAAGTAATTCGAATGTTTTGAAAATTTATTCCTAACTTTCAGTAATTTGGAGTCTGCTTTTGTCTCAGTGAAAGTGGTGCATAGTAAGTTATTATCAATCGGTGTGATTGTTACTGGTTGGATATATTTCTTCGCTTGGAGTATATCGTTTTATCCACAAATAATTCTTAATTATAATAGGAAAAGGTGAATAAAACTGCTACAATAGAGATTGTTAGTCATTTTGTTAAAAATCTTTTGTAAAGTCGCATATTTTGAAGCCTTATTTAGATTTTTTCCAGATCATTTTTTATCATTTTCTAAATTTTATATCATACTGCATTTAGTGTTGTTGGATTGAATTTTGATTTTTTGTTATTGAATATTATTGGCTTCACATGTTATACATCTTACAATGTTTTAATGTATTTTGATACATATATTCAGGTATGAAAAGTATTTAGTTTGCAAAATTTTTTTGAAATTTATTTGATTTCTGATCAGAATAATAATGCTTTTGACTCAATTTTTCTAGAATTATACGGAAGCATATTAAATTAGAAAAACTTTTATCAATGATTTATACCATACATTAAAATTAAAAACTGATAAAATTCATCTTTCCCAGTTTTTATTGTAGATTAATGTCATAACTGGTAGCAGGTATAATAATTGCTGAGAGATTTTAAAATTTTCTGATACTTCTTAGTTTAAATAAATAATAAATTAAAATGGAATAACCATAGCTAAAAAGCAACAAAATAAAAAAGCAACTAAGCAAATTTCATAAATACAATTTTCTTTTTTCCAGGAATTATACCAACGTGATCATCCTCATAATTTAATTCCCGTTTTATTCAATGATGTCATATTTGCCACACATGCGCTTTTAGCGTGCCTTGTCACTGCCTTGCAATGCTTTCTTTACGAAGTTAGCTTACATTCATATCCATTTTGATTACTTTCATGAAATGTTAAATATCAAAGAATATCCAGTGAATGAAAAAAATGTTAGGTAGTAACTGTTTCCATTATTTGATATTTTTATACTTTTTTATTATTATTTAAATGAAATGAGATTAATTTCTGCTTCTAGCGTGGTAATCAACGTATTTCATATACTTGCTGGCGTCTTGCAACTTTATTTGGACTAATTGCTGGAATAACCTTAATATTAACCGTATTCGAGATAATGAATCCATTGCAGTACATTATGGGTTTATCCTATATTAAAATGGCTATTACGATTTGTAAATACTTCCCACAGGTAAATCTATTTTATATTAAAATTGCTAATGCGATATGTAAATATTTGAAAAAATCAAATGAAGTTTAAGAATGAAATACTTTTCTAAAAATAAGGAAAAAATTAGAAACAATTTAATTTATTTGCGCCAAAGAAAGCCACCAGTGCCAGTAGATACAATTTAACAATAATTTAATTTATAAGTACCAGCAGTGAATAAAAAAAATTTTCTGGATAGGGGATGAATTTTATAATAATGCCTATAGTAATCCAGGAATGAAGCTTTTCAGTATCAATAATTTAATTTTGATTATATATAATAAAATAGCCGACTGTAAAGTTTTCAAATTGTAACATTTTTCGCCAAATGTAGTCACTGTTACTGACAAATTTTCCCGGTATATTTGGAGTCTTTTTGTTGCCACTGGATTAATTGCAAAAGAGCGTATGCTAATTCGGCATCATATATTAATTTCGCTTAATATTTTTTTCTTCAGAAAATTTGAAATTCCTAAAAGAACCTGTAATAACATGTAATACTGTGAAAAATTCCAAAGGAATATTTTTGTTTCTTTGAGGCGTTAATGAATTTCCGACGGCGAAACACGGCAGGATGGTCGATAGGAAATGTTTTGTTAGATTTTTTGGGTGGACTGATGGATATCACACAAATGATTTTGCAAGGAGCAAATACAGGTTGGAAATAAATTAAATCAAGGAAATATTAAAAAACCTAGAAGACAGTGTATCCTTGTGGTAATGCTGAAATATCCGATTTTATTGTAACTTGTCATTAGACAAGGGAAGGAAATGAAGGAATATTTTGTGTGTTACTGAACAAGAAGTTCTGAAATAACTTTACAAATATGAAATTCATAAAAATAAATACTATTAAAATACTATTAAAATAATAGGTACAAAGTAGAAATGAAATAATTGAAACGTCAAGGCTTAGTGATTTTTAAGATTTCTTTTCATGTTTCAACATTTCTGTTTTCTTATTCAGCTATATCTTAGGAAAATCAGAGTTGGTCATATCGATGTATTTTTATAAATTTCTTTTTTGTAAATCTAAAGCAATTGAGTGTGATGATTCGTAATATTAAAGTGGATGAAAAAATTTAGCCAAAGCGAGAGATAGTTGAAGTAGTTGCATCTACTTGTCATACATTACCTATCACCACTGTTAAAACGATGGCTGAAACTATTGTCGTGATTTAAAAACAAAGGAAGAAGAGAAAATAAAAATATCAATAATTAACTCCTTGATTAATTTACCAATAATTAACTTATAAGAATAATATTTTACAAACAAAATGCAGCCCATTGGAAAAAAGAAAAAACAAATTTCTAAAAATTTTAGACGACTGGTCAATATTTTATGGAAATCCAGTGAAATTTGGTCTTGGATTAGTATCAATGCAATTCGATGTAATCTTCATGGTGCAACATTACTGTTTGTACCGAAATTCTGGTGAAGGTGTGACTTTAAGTAGCTGTGCAGAGAATACCACAGATGAATTAGACCAGTCTGACATAAACTTATTACCAGAAGTTATACGCGTGAACGACGAACAATATATCATTATTTGATATTTGCTTCGTTGTTTTCACGCTTCTCTTTTTTCTCTTCTCCATAAGATTCTCATTTCTTTTAATCAAGTCCCTATTCTCCTATAAAATGAAACAAAGGAAGTCCAGAAATCAGTGTAAGTTATTTATTTCAAATATTGCCAAGAACAGAACCACTAGAAATCCACTTCTTTAGTCTTTCGATTTTTTAATCCTGGTATTTTTCAAATTGAGCAAAATCGCCATATTTTCCAGAACTAAAAAAATCAGTGTTTAGAAATGGGGAACTTTTAACTAAAACTTTTTTTTTAAAGCAAAAAATCATTACTGGAGATTCTATCGCATTTTGGTGTTGCATTGACCGAGAACCATACAAATATTTCTGATTCTTTAGCACTCCATTACTGTTAATGGACTAAAAAACAATTGAGTCTGAAAGTCTTAAGGACATTTATTACACGTTTTGGATGAGGGATATGTTCTACTGCTGTTCAGTCTTAGTTTAACAAATTGAGGGAAAATGTTGTATGGACAGTGTAACATCATGTTAATTCGTCGTTTCGGTTAGACATTCTTTGAGTTATACTTTCAGCTTTTGGTCAGAATTTCCAATCTTTGCCTTTTTCAACTTATCCACTTAACATCAATCCTCATTTTGATTTTCCATGGATTTTTCTATCTCATCTATCCGGGAATTGGTTCTTTTTTCAACACTTCTTTTAAAAAACTTGCCTGCAAAAATTGTTCATGGAACATATATATGGATTTCCTTTCCCTATATCTTTCCCTCTTGCTGAACAGTTACTGGTTATTTGAATAGCCATTATGCTCAACGACTTCGTGCTAAAGCTAATTTATTATTATTATTGTTTATCATTTTTGCTATTATTTATCTATCATTTGTTATTTATTATTTTTTATTATTGTTATTCATTATTATTATTATTAGTTATAAATCACTAATTATTGGTTATTAATTATTAATTATTATTAATCTGTTATTATTATTATTAATTATTATTATTATTGTATTACTCATCATTAATCATTAATCATTATCAATTATTACCACTTTCGATTATGAGACATTCAAAGCTTTATGTACATATTTTTGATTCTCCTTGAAGTCAACCAAATTTCATCATGAACGAGACTTATTTTTATCTTTCATGACAAAATGAATATAACAAGCACTTCTGCAGAAAAAATGTCTTTAAACAGACTACATGGGAAAAGCCGATCCTAAATTTAAACGTCTCAAATTACACTATTTCACATTTTTTGCATGGAACATGCTCATATGCTTCTAATGCGAAGAATATGAGATATTATGAAAGCATTCCATGAGAGTTCAACAGTATTTCGGGATAAAATCGCTAAATTGTGTTGTGCGATCGACAATATGGAATATTTTTGGATTCTCAATGAAGAAATTAAAATTCATAGGTTTTAGATAGTGCAAAGGAAAATGGTTATAAACCAAATGTGGAACCACCACTACAACTAACACCATCATCGCTGCCGATGCCATGAAGAATTCCGGAAAGAAATCTCTTACACTGGAAAAGAATACTGCGAGTCCAAAGAACATCTTTTGATGATAATAGTGCGATTAAACGGAGGAGAATTGCAGAATAAGTAAATTTACGATTAAAATCATCGTAAATTTACTTATTCTTAAATAAAAATTTTTTTACTTCTAACAAAAATTTTCTTACTAGAAATAGGAGAGATTGCGATTTGCTAAAACAGTAAATTTACGATGATACAACACATTTTGCGGCAACAATAATAATTGTATAAAGAAAAATTTGTTAAAATTATGAATTAATCAAAGAGTTCTGTACGAATGACAACAAGTTTTCAAAGACGTAATTTTTACGTTACACAATGGGAAAATAACTAGTTTAAGAAATAAATATCACTTGGGAAAACGGAGGACATCGAGGGATATCCCTAGTATGAAAGTTCAAAATCAATAATGGACAAAGGTTAAAAATGCAGTCAATACCAATCTATTTCAATAACCAGTTGAAGCATTTGTAATTTCTCACCACAACCCTGATTTACACCTCACATTTTCTGAAAATTTATCTTTCAAGGCTCTTTCTAACACATCAAGACATTGGTCGATGGACAACTGATTCTGAAAAAAAAAAAAAAACTATTAAATTTCATAAATGAAAATTTTCTGAGGAAATGTACCTTTCCGGCAAAATTGTTATTTCTATAAAAAACAGATTTACCACCAATAATTTGGAATATCCAATGATGGGGAGCTGCCGTAGACAACGCGCACTCAAACCAGAAGCTCTTCTGCAAAAAAGGCCGCTTATTTTATAAAGTTGCCTTTATAAATCTCACTAATTTATTACGCGCTAATGCGCCACTTTTTGCAACACAAGTTCAAAAATACTAGGTATTTGTTCTTGCAGTGAGAAATGCATAGACGTAAGACTAATAAGCAAGAATGTTATCACAAGCTGGTTTTTACCGTGACAGCTGCATAAGTTTCTCACAATATGGATCAGTTGCGTATCGTTCAGAAAACCATGGACCTGGCTCCACAATTCCAATCTATAGCAATTTATCACAAAAAATAAGTAATTCAAATTCTTTGGATTCACCGTTTCCGTTGTTACCTTTCTCAGTATTTAAATTTATTGAATATCTTCATGGAGAATTTTTAAGTAACATTTTTAGGTTTGTGACTTACTCTCTGCATTTCTTGAATGCATGAGGATAATATGGTGTAAATTGCATTTACTGAAGGGTAACCAACGAAACGACTTAAATCTATTCTATCTGTGAAGGCCTCATCCAAACTCTGAAAATTAAAATCTAAAAACGTTGCACAATGGTAGTTGTTGTTATTATCAAATAGAGATTGTGACAAATATTTGCTTTTTGGCACAATGAATATATTATCCAGCTCAATCCAGGGAATTTTGGAAAATTTCTCTATAAATATGACTGTTTTTGTTAGCATTCGAAAACAAAAAAGACTTGCCTGTGTTATATTGGAAGTGGTAAAAATAAATATGTTGTTACGACGACGTATATGATCCACTTCGGTAAGAATAGCATTTACAGCACGAATTGCATCCGTTGGTTCGTTTCGATTTAATAAAGCACTTCGAGCTGTGGTTAAGCTTTCTACCTTAAAAAGATAAGCCATTATGTCATAAAATAAAATTGAAGAACGAAATTATTTAACTACTAGATTAACACTTTTTCAAAGGCAGGAGAATTTTAATTGAAGTTAAAAATTCTGAATTTATGCAGTAAATAAGCTAAACAATGCGATTTAATTAAGTAATTGTTCAATGCTTACTTCATCAATAAGTACGAAAACAAAGGCTTTAGGATCTTCTGCGAGTTCTTCAATTTGTTTGAACATGTTATGGATCAATTTGCCACTCTAAAAAATAATGAAGTGTCAAAATTTCTTTAAATGATCCATTGTCAACAATGACATTAATGAACAGCTGCAATCGCTGGTTTTGTTGTTGGGATTTTCATAGGCATATTTTTAATAGTGAGTCAACATTTGGAAGCAATAAAAGAATAATGTGAGCCGACATCCTGAGTAGTCGGACAAATCTCTTAAAAGGATTTCCAGTTTCTAATGCCATTAATGTTACCTCAGAAAAAAATTTCGAGAAAAGACCATGACTGTTAATTTCCACGAAATATATGCTTCTGTATTTTTGGCTAAATCGTATAGCCAATTTTTGGGCCAATGCTTTGCAAAGCGATGTTTTGCCAGTTCCTGGTGGTCCTGCAGCGTGAGTGGGTATATTTGGAAGTTAAATTTCAGGTTGACATAGCATGAATGCATTCTCAGGCAAAAGAATGCCTAATTTCAAAGTAGTTTTGAATTCACCATTAGTTCAAAATATCAATTTCAGCTTTATTTCGAAGAATTTCTTTAAGAAATCTATGAAATTAAAACTACAAACCGTGCAGTAAAATTAATCGATTTACACTTAACACTGCAGAATTTGCATTTTTATCCGAAAGCCTGACCAGCGCATAAACATAAGAAAGGAGCTGCAAGAAGAAAGGATTTTAGTTTTAATTCAATTTCCTAAACAATTAAACGATCCTCAGTTTTCGCTGATGTTCAAAATGACAAGTTTCATTAAAGATATGAGGATAAGAGGATTAAGTAAATGAAAAGTAAATGAGCCAACATTATTCAGTCAGAAAAAGCCTTTGGCACTTATAAGATATCGACAAAAAGATCGAGACCATCAAACAATATGATCACATAAAAACAGAACCTAAAAGTGGAGGATGGTCATTGTTTTAAATTTAAATTTATGACGTCAATTAAATTATGAGATTTAAATGAGTGAAACCAGCTCCTTCATGTTTACGAATTTAAATTTATAGATTTAGTTGCCGAATGATCTACAAATTTAAACTATCTTCAACTTACCTCGTCTTTAATGGAATCATCAAAAATCAAATTTTCCCAAAATCCATCAAATTCACAACAAGGTAATTCCCACAGTAGCGATCCCGCAATATTAGGCTGCGAGTCATGCTCACCTGACTGCGCTTCTAGTACTTGTGCATCATGATTTAACAATTTGTACAGATGTAGATTTGCAAGTGTTAGTGAAGTGTCGGATATTGTCAAGCATTCTCCTGAAAAAAGAATTGAGGGAAACAATTTCATTTTAGAATCGAGAAACAAAATAATTTACATCAGCTATCCTCAATAATTTCCTAAAAATTATTTAAAACTGAAAAAATAGCAAAAAATCAGAAACAGCAAACCTTCAGGAGTATCAGAGCTAACAATAAATATACTATTAATCATTTTACTAAATTCCTTATCGGTTGGTAGTGCCACCGGATAACCATTACGAACATTTTCAGTGGATAAAAGCGTCTCGTGAATTTCAGGTAACAACTTTTCAGCATCTTTTTTCGCACTAAAAATTCGGAAATAATGTGTACAACGAAAAAAGCCCGTCCCACCGCTCCCGGGTGGGCTTGAATCACCAGCCTTTCGGTTAACAGCCAAACGCGCTGACCGATTGCGCCACGGAAGCACAACCTGCTTCAACGCAATCCAGAAAAGTTGGCATTTTACGTTTGGCATTCTACCACTTAATTAGCCAATTTCCAGGTTATGAGGTCTCGGACAGTACTCGATATAATGAATGCATTTCGGAAACTGCTTTTATATGATCATGTAAACATCACATACATCATATAGTATTATCAGATTCATCGAATAATTTGTTCTGAATGGACCAGTTGAACATTTTTTTCGTGGGAAATTCCCACTGATATGGGGGCAAAGTGACTCCGAAAGCAAAAGGCGAACAATAAATACCACCGTTATTTCCTTGTATCGTTTTCTTTTTGATAAATTTAAAAAGAAAAGATGTGGATGGACATTTTCAACAAGTTTAAATGCTTACAAGTTCGTCAGAATGGGGCCTGTGAAAATTTTTCAGAATTAATTTGCAGGTATGATATCACATCAGTAATCAGAATGTACTTGATGTCAGTCTTTCGTTTGAATTAAGAATCAGAATAACCCAAGAAATAAAGAGTTGTCGAATCGAAAATCAAATCCTTATCCCGAACCGTTTACTGAATTAACAATCTAATCCAAAAATAAAATTTTGTCGTTTCGAAACGAAAACTATATCTATATCTTCATTTGAAAACTACATCTTCATTTGCAACGAAAATTCGAAAAGCTTACATTGTTGGATTCAGGCGTATTTCCGCATGAAGAGGCGCGACTGTTTGTTGTTTATTAGGAGTACTTCTCATTATCACAGCCCAAATGGAAGAACTAAATTGCTTAATGAAATTGTTCAGGGCATTTTCCATTTTATGGATTTTTCTGAAATCACAAAAAAATTTAGACTTATAACCACAAAATAAATTATTTAAACATACTGACATGTGTAAAACTCAATCACCAGCCTGTGGATTGAGAGTTTCACCAAGTACCACTTGGCCCATTGACCTCACGACCTCACTGCCAGTCCAAACCCCTCCACCAGACTGTCCCTACTCCGTCCCACTTCACCTTAAATCCTTGCACTCATTTCTACCGGTGGCCAACGACATTTTTTCGCGCCATCACAGTTTTCTTGAAAATTCTTAAAATAACAGCGTCCTAACGGCAGCGATCATCAGCTTCAACTTTTTTGCTTCCCACAATCAAAGGAAGTGCGGTAGGAATATTTTCGTCATTTGTATACGCGGTACCTTTTTTAAAAGTTCGGTTTATGGCACTGAGCATAATTGTGATTATGACAATGATAATTATGACAATTACAACTGGACTGTTCATAGTCCACAATTAGTTACGAGTTCAGTTTACATGACATCAAATTCTTGTTGATTGTTATAATTATGATCATGATTGTGATCATTCATAGTTACAATTCTGACTGTAATACTGGTGTAACTATAATTATGTGATCACAGCTATGTTATCGTATCATTTCACAACTTTCGAGTGAAGTTGGTGCTAATCCACTTCGATCTGAGCACACATATAACTACACCTGTATGAACATGTTGTGATATAGAACCAACTTTCGCCAAACAGGGATCATTCAAATGGCGTACACTGAGATTTAGAAAAAATTTGGAGACAGAGCCTATGAAGAATTTTCCAATATGATCAAAGACAATTTACTGCAAAGGTCTGAAAGTTCAACAACTTCTACAGTGTTATGAATAATGTGCTAACTACGATATTTATTACTGTCTTTTGCAATATTTCTTTTTTAATCGTTTTTTTTTAAATCATAACAATGAAATTGTCCCAGAAATTATGAGTAAATTTATATAGGAACGAAATCATTCATTTATTTGTGTATGCTTTCCCTTCCTATAAATAATTACAATTTTAGCAATTTATTGATGATATATTCAGTCATGCTTACATTCAGCAAAAGGGTTGTCAAGGATACGAACCATTAGGCGGCTTTATTGGTTTTTCTCTTCTAAGTTAATAGATGCGCACAACTTGAGGTAAATTTCAAATTTTATTCAGAAATGTGACATTTTAAATTTGAGTATTTTGAATAAATTCAGAGTGAAATTAATAATATGAAAACTTGAATAGTTAGGCAATAGTTAATGTTTAAGAATAATTTATCGACTAATTTTTACAGTGCTAAGTGCATTGCAAATTTATTTCATAAAATCTTTAAAAAGGTGGTTTTATATGAAATCTTCTTTAGCGTGTCTTTTTAGATAGTAATTTTACAAATTTCATAAATGTCTTAAATCTTTCTGTTAAAAGAGATTTTTGACGTTTTTAATCTAATTTCCTTTAATCAGATAAAATATTTTCTGATTACTTGAAGTAAGTAAAATACTTAGTTATTTTTACTGCTCCACAAATATTTACCCATGTTTACATATTCTAATTAAGGGCGTTATAATTTCAGTTGAACAATATTTGTAATAATGGCTAATAAATATGGTGTTTTATTGTTGATACAAATCGGTATGATCTCATTGGATCTTACATTTAATATTCTCGACTCGTTAATTGCAACGGATAGCACCGTTCAGCTGATGCTTCATTTGTAAGATTATCAGTAATTACTTTTCTGACCGTCAATTAATAAGATTCCCCTAACCAACAAACAGTTAATAACAGTTTCTAATTTTGCATTAACATTAACCATCTAAAAAGATGAAAAGTGAATAATACCAAAAGTTGTAAAATGCATAAATTTCGGATAAAAGAAAGATGAGATGAACTGGAATGAAAAGTTGCAACAATGAGTCAGTCTTTCAGGTCCAGATATTTCCAATGATAATATTCTGGACATTTACTTATTGACTTATAGAAATTTTAGTTTTTTATATATCAAGATAAAATATCCAATAATTCTTACTGAATATTTATCACTGTGAATATCAGAAAAAAAACTTCATATTCAGTGTACAGTATTAAAATATGAAATGAGAACTTGTTAATGGTACCGTAGTAGTAGTTCTTCATTTCTTATTTAATGGAAACTGAAAATGACCGAAAATAAATGACATCGCTTAACAGTAAATTATTGGTTGATTGGTTTTCGCATAATTTTTGTATTTTATAAATAAATATTGCAGATTACAAGATGCGTTAATTGTACTCAGTATTATCATTATTCTCATCGCTTTCTCCTCAACATTTGTCTTTCAAGCAGGCCTTATTGTCTTATTGCTCAGTAAATTTGCATCAACAATTATTTTATCTTTGACATATCTTGCATTATCCATACTTCTTCATTTCTATGATATGGTAAATTTGATGATTTTTCATTAAATACGGTTTAAAATGAACCAAATTATACCTTATAATATCTGTTGATAGGATAATATCTGCAATGGCATTTTTACAAATGATCATGAAGAAAAACGATAAGATTTCCTTGGCTCGAATTATTAATATAAAATCAATTAGCTTAAGTTGTTTCTGAAAACAGAAATCCTTTTTGCATAGGAAGTTTTCATTTGAAAAATAAATTACTATTTGAGATTATTTTTTGAAAGACAAAGATATAAATCAAATATAAAGTAAATAATATGTAAGAATTATTTTAATAAGCAAGCATTTACTCTTTCTTCCTAAGAATAAGTTAAGAATAAGTCACGTAATGTTTGTTTTACATCAATTAATTAATACATTTTCTTATTTCAACTTGGTATAATGCATGTGTGCCTTAATTATGACATGTTTCTTGCAGCGTCAACGTTGGTTTGTAGCAGATCAAAGTAAATGGTCAACTGTTTTTTTTACATTGTATATTTTGCAGCGAATCGGTAAGTTCATATGCTTCTTCTTTTTACTTCGCTAACTTGCCTATTATTTGCAGTAATAAGAAGTAAAAATCCACTTAAGTTAATTATTTGTTTTGCACTCATCAATGATAGACGTTATACATGTGATAAAATGATAGATAAATATGGAAAAGAAAAAGGACAATGCGTATTTAATCTTCGAAAATATATTTTTAATGAAGAAAGAAAGGAAAATAATGTAAATGGAACAGTACAATGGAAAACGACTAAATTAAAAAGTAGGAAGTTTAATAATTTCAATGAGATAGAAATGTTTTCATCTGAATTTTGTTTAAAAAGTTGAACATTATTTTGGGAAAACAAATACAATTTGACCAATATCTGTCGTTTCATTTTAGCGGCAACACTGTATTATTTCACATATAAAAGAACCATATTACTGCTATCAAATCCGAAGTATCATCATGATTCAGAATGGATCCGTGAACAAATACGTCAGAAAAATTAGCAGCTTGAATTATGCGTAAACAAATAAAAAGATTCACATTATTAAAATGTAATAAGATTGACATTTTTGAAATTTAGACAGAAAAATGTTATACGCACTAAATTTAGCAATAGGTATAGGATAATTTAAAATCATGGTTCATAGATATTCATTATTAAATGGTATATGATGTTAGATCACTGTAATTGAATCTCAATATATGATCACAAAATGATCCAATATTTATTGACTAAAGGTTCAAAAGTTATCATAAATATGAACTTTTAATATTCAATAAACGGATTATTTTTTAGTACATTCATTTTTCTTGCTAATTAGCTATTTTTGAGATTATCATAGGAAACTACTTCTCATCCCAAGTAAATATTCCAGGATTCGGAGATAACGAATTGCTCCGCGTAATATCTCTTGCTTGCTCATTTTTTTGTTGATCGGATAGCTCGGGATTATTTGTTGAAGCTGAAATGAATTGGTAAATTAGCCAAATGGTAAAGCATGGAATTCATGATTTATTTAATCTTCAAAGGGAACTAAGTTATGAATAAATAATGATTGATTGACTTATTTCATAAGAGAGTGATACGTTTAATGCTGGAAACGAAAGGTGATCAATAGCCACAGTTTTGGAAAATTTTATATCTTTCAGATGATGAAATAAATTATCATACACTTGCTTTGGTACTTTTTTCAAAGTATTAGCATCGAAAAAGAAATTTTGTAAAAACTATCAGTAGAAAGAATATAATTAAAAGCATTACTTGCAAAAATGCATTATTTATTTGAAGTTGACGATCTCGTTCTGTTCTATTTTGACACATTGCCAACAAGTTTTGAGAACCAAATTGTCGAAATCTATGCAAGAACTTACTATATCTGGCTGAAAAAATTAGATTTAGCTTATGATCCTGAAAATACATCTTAATGCTAAATGAAATCCAGAAACAAAAATCAAATTCGCTACAGCAAAGCATTAAATCTTCAAATCGGCTCTTGTCTGCTAAATTTCAGGCCATGAATAGTAATGAAATATAATTTCAGAATTAAATAAATAGGCAGTATCCTAAGCAATGAGGAATGTACTAAGCAGCGAACATTGTTTGATAAGTTCAGATGGATGACCGTTTGATGCTTCATTAAGATTAAGTGATGCATGAAAATAAGCGATTATCAATCCCCATGACACATGATTCGATTTAAATTTTATGGTTAGGCGTGAATTTACAATCGGTTTTGCCATTTACAACTCTTTTCATTTTCTATCATAATCTCGAACTTTTAGAAATCACTAATGATGTTCACAGGTGGTGGTAATTGGATATCTCGCGTAGAAAACACTGTGACATTATCACTGGGATTTATTTGATTTTCCAATATTCCATAAAAAATCCGGCGTCAATGAAGAACTGTTATCGTTGTTAACAGTTATCCCTTCCAATACTTTCAGAGATGTCAGGAAAGTCGTGATAGATAGGAATACATCTTGTCTCTGGATGGTCCAACTCATCTTAAGAACTAAAAACTCCTATGTTCTTAAAATAAAATTGCTTATTACTCAAGAGAAAAACCTCAGTCATCCCAGTTATGGCTTTCAATGTAAGGTTAGAGAAATATATTCCTTTATTTATCTATAATTATTCCGTTTTCGTAAATTTAGCAAGGTTCAAACACACTGTACAGTTCGTAAATTTTAGATTGTTTTAATCCACAGAATATGAACAAGAAGAATAGAAGCAATGCAGAAAGTACATAAACAATGAAAAAAATTAAGAACAAGCAAACAGTTTCTGCAAATTTCATATAAAGTAATTTTTAATTTCGAAAAAATGAGAAAAGCCAAATGCATGAAGTTCAAAAAATAAAAACTGTTAGTTTCCCGATGACTTTGTGGTTTTAAAAATCCCGGAAAATTTAATAAGCAGATAAATATCCATGGCAAGCCTATGGAATTTATACCTATATTTATCACGTGTACTATACAACAAGTCGATATGTAATGTATCTTCCAGCAGTTTCGGATGGTCGAATAATTTTGACTACTTGTCCGCGTCGTAAACCAAAATACCTAGCTACCGGATCGCTCTGCTGAATTCGGGGTAACTGCGTATCTTTCAATTTACTGAAAAAGATGAACAATAAGTATTCAGGAACTGATGGATGATCTGATAGGGAATGTTTGTCCAAAAAAAGACCGCTATCACAGTGAAAAAAAATAAAAATGAATAGAAATAATACTAAAATAGGCAAACCCATATAATACATCAAATAATATGAAAACTTACTATCGACCCAATAATTCATTCTTTTCTTCATTGGTCATGACAACATGCTCCGGTACTAATTCGTGTTCCGTTATATTAACCATCAGTTCAGCTTCCAGAAACTGTTCTAATGTATATTTTGGTGCCATATCGGCTATTGCCTATAACTAAATACTTTCAAAATGGAATTAAATTTGGCCTGTCATCTGTACGCCCGGAACAAATTTTGGATGGTTATGAAATCAGGGGAAAACACTGGGAAGAGAAATATCAACAAAAGTTGACTAACTGATTAAATGAAGTTAGATAAATGACTAAATGAAGAGGAAAAAATGAATTCAATGTCGTAATTAATCATACAGTAATGTTACAAATATGAGAAAGGATTAAATACCAAAACCCTAATCAACAAATAGACTGAAGACTATAAAATAATTGATATAAATGCGTTTTTTAGAATTCGTTAAGCCGCATCTGATGCGTTCCATCACGAGCAATGAAAGATCAAACAATAATGTTCAAAATCTAAAAAAAAAACAAACTAAAAGTCTTCAAAAATTAGATTTTAAAATTCTAACTATAAAAACGAAACTGACCTGTTTGGCAGACGGAGTCATACCTGTTTGTACGACAATGATTGCCCGTGTTATCGCTTGCTCTTGCATTTGCTGACAAATAGCCTAAAATGAATAGAAAAGATAACTAACATATAAATTAGGTGGTGGGCAAAATGTGTGAAGGAATATGTAGACAGAAGGGATGGGATAGCGTTAGACAATTTGTACGAACGCTGCATTTGTATAATCTTGAGTAAAAAAAATGCGAATTTGAAAATTCACTTTAAAGAAAGAAGTAAAAAAGTACTGGCCTTAATTGTTTTGATTCCGATTTTAGAATCTTCCGGGAAAAACACAAACATTTGATCTGTCGGATCATCGTTATGTGCTACTAAGACAGTTAATTCATTACGCGATGGGTGTCGTTCACTTGGTTTATCACCAAAAGTATCTTTAAAATTTTCTAACGTTTGATCTAATTCTTCCTGAGTTACCAAATATCCACGATCATGGCACATCTATAAAACATAATTGAATTGATATTTAAAAGATTTCTCAATCTTATCATAAATATATCCAATACAGGCATTTTATTATGCAGACACCTCTGTTTTAGTAACACCATATAATTATCACTACTATTTTATCACTATAAATCTACCAATAATTCTTCTAACAGTAGAAAATTACTGCTATCCATCATGTTATGAAAACCTTTCGAAGAGCTTCATTGCTTTTTCAGCTATCTTTTTTTAATAATGTACATTTACTATCATATTTCAATACATAATAATAAATCATTGTCCTATCATCACATGTGATGAATAAAACACCATTACCTGCATAATTGTCTTTCGAACCCGCCATAGTTTGTACGTTTCCAGTTCATCGTCCGCCATTGCTCTGATCAATACTAAAGTCAACTTTGTTAATGAAGAGAATATTTTTTTTTAATTTCCCCTCCTCCCTAATAAATGATTAATTAACGGACGATAACTGCGGCATCTTACGAAAAACTGTTTGCCGACATGACTCACCCACCCGCCACCTGCTAACAAGAACCCACACAACTAATCTAATAACTTGCAATTGAACTATGGACTGCAGTTTCGATACGCTACGATGATTGTTTATCGAGGATTGGTTCGGATGAATAAGGTTTGAAAATTCGACTAAAGCGGTGATTGTGGTTGGGGTTAGGCGGTTTTTCCGTTAGGAAGCGGGAATTGGTCTTTCCAGGAATTCTTGACAGAAGTAGTGCAGCATGGGGAAGACAGGAAATTGGTAAGATATATGCAATATTGTATTGTAAGATAAGAAGAGACGATAAAGAATTTGGGGGAACTATTAAAGATACGCAGTTAAGTTAGGATAGCAAGAAATGAAAAGAGAAGACAGATCGATAGAAATAGCTAGAAAGAAAGTAATTATGAGAGAATGAGAAGATAAAAAATTAATCCTATTGATGAATATAATTCATAGATTCCACACAAATCTTTGCCACTAATTATTGAAATGGTTAAATTTTAAAGTTTAAATTAAGAACGATCGGAAAATTTTTTAATTCTGTCAAAAAAATGCGCCAAACACTCGAATTAAATGATCGAATGATATACTAATTAGTGATTGGGAATTGCATTAATGAAATAAAACATAAAGAGAAACATTTTCTAATCATTTAAACACTTCATTGATATTTCAACAGCGGTTTTTGATAAAAATTTTAAATAATAAAATGATTTTATTGATAAATTTAAATTTAATTAATTGCAAAACCCATTTACAAAAATTATTTTATACGATTGAAGTTGGGAAAAAAAGGAAAAAAAGAAAAAAAGGAAGAACGAAGGACAATAAAATGCGCATGAAATTATCTTTGCTCCAATGCATTTCTATTTCTTTCCGATTGATGTCCCAACTTTATAGACAAATTTATGCAGACTGAAGCTAAAACTATGTAATCATCCTTCACATTCATTTCTTTTAGCTTAAGGAAAAATTTTTGTTTTCTTCAAGAATTGAAAGAAATGTTGATGAGAAAAGAACGATAAAATTAAATTTGGATGCAAAAAACTTCTTTTGACACATCTATTTGTTTATTTTTTCTCAATTCACTTTCTAATTTCAGCAGTTCATTTTCATTTATTTATGAGGTGTAAATAAAGGAATGACATGAGTTGTTGTTGTTGTTCCAGCAATGTCACCGATATCAATTCGAAGGAAATCATAGATCGAGATCAATCACACTCTGTTTGCTTTTAGGTTGAAAGCGCTGATAATTATAATAATGATTATGATCAGTTTATTTAATACTTTTTTCTATCATTATAATTAATCCCGCGTGTTGTTAACATTTTTCATCTTGTTTCTCTGTATCCAATATTAGCCAGCTATTAGTTACAGGATATAAATACAATATTCGAACAAAAAAATGTCTGATATATGATATAATTTGTATAATATTTGTTTGATAATTTGTATAGTAAGTTAAATTTGATAATGTAATATTCTTAACAGATTAACTAATATTTCGAAGAATCGAACTGATAATGCAACAATTTAATCTACTCTACAAATTATAGAGAAAAGAAATGAAAAGTAAAATGAGAAAGTGTCAGTTGAAGATGAGGAAGGTGTAGTTAACCCACAGGGACTGTGTGTGGACATATTCACTTCTTTTTTGTCCTCTCTTTCAGCTTTCTTTATAGAAGAAGGAAAGATGCCTTTATTTATTGTGGTTGTCCGAGTAACCAACTTCGAGAGATCGACGAAATTCTGAGAACCATTACGAATTGCTGTTGCCTTGGTAACTTCAACAGAAATTGCGTCAAGCGCAAAAAAGCTTTTATTAACTTCAATTTCATTATTAATAAAATGCTCTGACAACTTTTCACTTATTTAATCTCAGCTTGTTGTAACTGTAATTTATTAATTAAATTGGTACAATATATTTTCCAGTAAATCCAAAACTGATCATCCAATATATAATCCATTCAATTAATCCATATATATTAAAATTGTTTCAGATGAAGCAAATTTTGAAATAATTTTGAAATTTCAATTGTCTGAAGTCAACTTTAACTGTTCTTTATTCATGAGTTGGAAGTGCATTAAATAAATCAAATACAAATTTCGTTTACTTATCCTGTTTTTCAATTTAATAGTGCAAGTTGAATAGCTTAAGGTTTTAATAAAAATTAATTATTTCACAAGTTGGATTTTAAAACCTATTATATGTTATTTCACAGTGAAGTAGAGCTATGAAAATCTGTCACATGAATATGATTAATCTGGGACAACTTAAATGCATATGTGACACTTGATTCTCATAAAATTTACCTCACAATATCATAATATCAGATTTTTCTGCTTATTTTGAAATTTCGTTTTTGTATTACTTTGAAGTCGTTTTTGAATATTTTCTACCTAGAATTGAACTTTCAGAATTTTAATTAATCAACGACGACCTTTATTCATCACTATTTAATACCATCTATCGCTAATGTCAAATGATGTGTGGACCAGTCATAACCTCGCAAAACAAGTATGCTTAATCTTATCATAAATTCTGCCCAAGTGAATTATACTAATTTCTGAGAGTGCAACATTTCCCGATATCCAATCTAATCACATTATTCTAGTTAAATTATCAATTAACTAGTTAACATGAAGATGCACTCAGATCAGTTTTTAATGACGGTAAGAGTATTTAATCCAAGAAGTACTGAGAGCTATCGAGAATTTACGAGATGGAGAAGGATTCTTTTGCAAGGCATAAATGATTATTGTGGAAAAAGGAAGGTGTGTAACAGATAATAAACTATATTCGTTGTCTTGAAGAAAAAGCAAAAACTGAGGCAACAGATGAGAGATTAAAATAAGTTGAAGAGAGGGCAAGTAAAAAGAAAATGAGAAAAAGAGTTGAAAGAGGAAATTTCAAATGATTTTGCTATAAGTCATAAATAACTTGAACGATTTTTTGTCAAATATATATACCATTCAAGGATGAAAAATGCCTTATGGCCATATCATCATCACTTAGCCCAAGCCATTTTTTATATTTCCTAGTTTTGAAATATGAAAAGGATTATTTTATTTCTCTTCTTCGTAAACAATTGCTCTGTTTGGTTGTGAAGACAATGCTTAGTGTTCTCTGATGTCGTTGAATGAATGGGCTATTTAAGAATTTTAATGACTCAGAATGTGATGAGACGAGATTTTAGGATATGTGATTCTTTCGGGTTCATTTATAAAACATTAGCTGTTACACTCACTTCAACATTATAAACATTAATCATGATAAAGGTAACCATACAATAGGATACTGATTGATATTCGTATTGTAATTAATTGTCGGCTATATTGACTAGAAATTTTATATGTAGTTGTTATAATTGTGATTAGTAAAATGATCATAACCATAGTAATCAATTAAGCATACATTGGTTATGAATTTTGTCAAGATGATTTTTCTTTCGAATTCTTGCAAAAATCGATTTGATTGAAATGAACACAATCTTTGTATTTGCACATTTGTTTTCTAGGAAAAATATAAATTGAAAATTTTTAAATTTCTTCAAAATCAATTTTTTCTTTTTTGTTAAAATCCAACAAGCTATCTAGCGATAAAATAATAATGCACATGCGCCTTGCACCTGATATAAAATTTTTTATTCCAAATTTAGTTTTCATTTTAAAATAATATTCAAAGAGGTAAGTTTAAATTCACCTATAAAATTAATTCAATCTTTTCTTCGCTTTTTTTTAAAAATTAACTTTAATTTTAAACAGAACAATGAATTTTTTTGTAGCATTTAACTGGCATATTATAATTTTTTCAATATTTTCGTATTTATTGATTACTTTTTTATCATTTTAGTTTAGAGCATTTACTTCGTTCGTTTTTTCCTGAAGAAATAGTTCATGAATCTTGTTTGCTCAGTTATATTGTGTCCAATAATAGTTGCAAGTCATCAAAAGAAAACAATCATAATTGATAACGTCGCACTCTTTTTTTTTGCTTTCTTATTTTGTCCTTTATCATTTTATAATGATTTTTTTAAATGGTCATTTTTTTCTATCATTTCAAATGTACAGAAGAGAAAATGAAAAAATCAAATTTTTTGATATATTTGAAAAGGAAAGAAGATTAAACGATGCATAAAAGTCACCTGACTGGAAATGAATATAAGAAGAGACTAAGCAATTCATACATTTCATTATTTAACTTTTAATAA